AGCACTTATGGGCAAAGTCTATCTGAAAGAAAAGCAGAATGCAAAAAGGATAAAAGAGGAACAGCAAATTGTTGGAGTTGGGTGTTAGAAACAAGGAATTCACTATATTATCTCTTCTGTTAAAAAATTTCCATATTAGGGGCTGAGGAGATGACTCAGTAGAATAAGTGCTTGCCTGGCAAGCGCAAGGGCCTGAGTTCAATCCCTGGTTTGGGGAAAAAAAAAAAAAAAATCCATGTTAAAATGTTACTGGTTTTTGAGATAAAAATAGTCAAAATAAAATTTATAATGATACTTTTTCTATATAGAACATTTTTTATTATAGAACATTTTAAAAGATTTACAGATAGAATATTAGAATAACAGAATTTAACAAGGTTTTTTGATACAAGATTGCTATATAAAAGTCAGTGTTGGGGAGCGAAACCAACGCCTGGCTCGGAGCGGCTACCGCTGAGGTCTCTGGCCAGTTTCTGTTCCACGCATCCACAAGCATGGGGAATATCTTTTCAAACCTCTTCAAGGGCCTCTTTGGCAAAAAAGAAATGCGCATTCTCATGGTGGGCTTGGATGCTGCCGGAAAGACGACTATTCTTTATAAACTGAAGCTTGGTGAAATTGTGACCACCATTCCTACCATAGGTTTCAATGTGGAAACGGTTGAATACAAGAACATCAGCTTCACCGTGTGGGATGTGGGTGGTCAGGACAAGATTCGACCACTGTGGCGCCACTATTTCCAGAACACCCAAGGCTTGATCTTTGTGGTGGACAGCAATGACAGAGAGCGTGTGAATGAGGCCCGTGAAGAGCTCATGAGGATGCTGGCTGAGGACGAGCTCAGGGACGCTGTCCTCCTCGTGTTTGCCAACAAGCAGGACCTCCCCAACGCCATGAATGCAGCTGAAATCACAGACAAGCTGGGGCTGCACTCTCTACGCCACAGGAACTGGTACATTTAGGCCACCTGTGCCACCAGTGGGGACGGGCTCTATGAAGGATTGGACTGGCTCTCCAATCAGCTCCGGAACCAGAAGTGAACCAGAATCCCCCTTCCCCTCACTTTCTCCTTCTCTGCCCTCCGCTTTCCTCTCATGTGGCAAACGTTGCGACTCTGTGGTCCTGAGTGCCAGAAGCTGTCTCCATGGGTTGGTCACAGTGTGCACACATCGTGCTGTACATGTGCAGACGCCTGCAGCCAGGTTTTTATTTAATGTAAATAGTTTCTGTTTCCACTGAGGCAGTTTCTGGTACTCCTATGCAATATTACTCAGCTTTTTTATTGTAAAGAAAATCAACTCACTGTTAGTACTGAGAAGGGATTTGGGTGCATGGGCACCTGGCCTCCAGGAGCCACTGAACTGTAGATTGGTGTCAGGATCCATTTGGTGGTTGGTGTATAACCCAAACTCAGTGCATTTTTAAAAATAATTAAAAATTACAAGGTGAGGAGAACACTTGAACACACAGAAGGGAGACTATTCCTAGTGCGGTTCAGCCTGATCATCAGATCAGCTGTTCCTCTGGGAACTCCAGAGATGTGACGAACAAATGCCATCCACTGCATGGTCACAGTTGAGACCCTGTGGCCCGCCTGTCTTTGGGTCACCTGCATTCCATAGCATTGTGCTTGTACTCATGCTCACACGGTCACCTTGGGGTAGCGGGGAAGGTTAAGAGGGGTACAGGGCCCACCCTCCCCCTCGGTCAGTGTGCAGCTGGAGTGGCAGCCTATTCCTAGTGCCCGCTCGGGACTTACGTTGGTCAGTCTGGGTCTCACCAGCAGGAGCGCGTGCAAACTGGGTCGGTTGGTCCACTCTAGACCACAGTCCCGGAGCACCCCCACCTCCATGTGTGAAGTAGCTTCCTCCCTCAGCCTGCAAGGGTCCGATTTGCCATCAGAAAAGATGACCTCTACTTTTTTCTTTTGTATTTTGATAAACACTGAAGAAGATGGAGCTGTTAAATTTACCTTGGGAAACTTCAGAACTGGTTTATTTGGTGTTGTGGAACCTCTTACTGCTTTCAATACACGATTAGTAATCAACTGTTTTGTATACTTGTTTTCAGTTTTCATTTCGACAAGCACTGTAATTATAGCTATTAGAATAAAGTCTCTTAACTATTAAAAAAAAATAAAAAAATAAAAGTCAGTGTTGTTACTATTCTCAGATAATGAAACAGGAAAAATGTAAAAACAACTATAGGACTCTCAAAAACAAACAAACAAAAAAACTATAGGACTCTTCAAAAGAAAAATGAAAACCTTAAGGACTGTAGGAAAGGGAAGGATTTCTTAAATAACATTAAAAAATAGCAGAAATCATAAACAAAAGATTGATTAAATTAAACCCTAGTGGGCCAGTGAGATGGCTCAGTGGACTAAGCGCCTGCTTAAGCAAGTGCAGGGACTGGGGTTCTGTTCCCAGTACCACATGCTGTGCTGGCCCCTGGGGATGCTGAGCCTGTGAATGAGTCAGGAGTCTGGGCATAGTGGTGCATGCCTGTAATCCTGGTGCTGGGGACGCTGAAAACAGGAGGATCACTAGGAGTCTCAGCTGTGTAGTGAGATCCTGTACAAAAAACTCTAGAGGACAAAACTCCCACAAAGACAAATGTCAATTTGGAAAATGGTATTTATAGGATATGTAACAGTTCAGTGAATAGAGTATGCTATCAAAATATCTACACATTGAGAGAAAGAAAAAGTTCTAAGAGAGTCCACAGTTTACAGAAGAGGAAATAAAGTTTCATAAACATGAAAGCATATATATATTTTTTTTCAGAACTGGGAATTGAACTCAGGCCCTTGCACTTGCCAGGCAAGTGCTTATTCTACCGAGCCATCTCCCCAGCCCCGAAAGCACAATTTTTAAATTATCAGGAAAACATAAATTATAACCACACCCTTCACAGTAACACAAATTAAAAGTCTGACCATAACTAGTATTGGTGACAATGCAGAGAAAAGAGAACTCTCTCTCTGAGGGTATTAGTCATAATTTGTCAAGTGACCCAACATGCATGTTAAAGACATTCTTTTATGTTCACAAGAGATCTATGTAAGGAGACACTTCTTAAAAATTTTTTTTTTGTGTGTCTTTTTTTTTGTGGTACTGGGGATTGAATTTGGGACCTTGCACTTGCCAGGCAGGTGCTTATGCCGCTAAGCTATCTCCCAGGCTTCCTTATGTCCTTTTGAGATGGTCTTTCTATGCAGTTCAGGCTAGCCCTGAATTCACTTTGCAGCCCTGGCCAAGCTTGAACTGCCAACAATCCTGTCTCTACCTCCCAAGTACTGGCATTACGGGTGTGAGCCACCACACCCAGTTTAGGATACACTGTGTAATAATAAACAATTGAAAGAACCCAAGTGTCCATCAAGGAAATGGAAATTTTGATGTATGTATTCAAGGAAAATATGTGACAGTTAACATATGGGGTAGCTCCTCAAAAAATAATGGCAAATGAGAAAGCGATTTGGAGAAGAGTATAATATGGTTGTGTAAAAATTAAAAACCTGTAATGACAGTTTATGTATCTACAAACATTTTAAACATGGTAAAAGTGTAACAATGGCCTATAAAATGCATGCTGGAAGCTGCCCATATGGAAGGAGGCACATGAAGTATGGAGAAAAAGAGTTAAATTTTATCTGTAATGTTTTAATTTATTTAAGAAGTTCATGAAAAATGAAAAAGTTAATATTTAATGTAGATATTTGTTAAGCCCATGTTATTAATATTTTTAAATTCTTAGTGATAAGTACACAAATGTTTATTTCATAATTATCTGATATTTTTGAATAAATGATCTTTATAAAACAAATTTCAGTCATTGTTTTCTTAAACGACAAAGGTGCAAGGTGGAGACAGGAGAGTGGCCGATTTTAGTTATGTAAATTTTTGAATTTGTAGCTGGGCCAGAATTAAATGAAAACTTGTTTGTAATCTGATGACGGGAATCACATTTACTGTTAAGGGGATTTCATGAATTCTTTCCTCTGCATTGGTACCGTGATTGTTTCGTCTCGTGCAATCTGTAGTAATATCCAGGAAGGAGGAGTCTGGAGAATTCTGGGAAGCATTTTTGTTTTGTTTGTAACCATGGGAAGGATTTCTCTAGGTCCTAGAGGGATACATGTTCTTACGGCAGAGTACCTTAAACAGCCTCTGGCTGCCGACAGAATAAAAATGAAAAATCATTCTTTGAATAAGCGTTTGAAACTATTTTGGAGTAAAAATGAAAAATCATTCTTTGAATAAGCGTTTGAAACTTTTTTTAAAATAAAACTCAGTCTACATTTTTCAGTTAGCGTTTGTGATGTGTGTGAACTTTAAAAAAAAAAAAAAAATCCACACCTTAAATTTTAGTAACAAAAGAGAACTTCATTACTGCTGATTTTAGGGTAGGTTCGCTTCCACTTTTACTAGTAGCTTTAGATATTCATTGTCCGGGGACGAGGGGAATTGGCATGGGGAATTTATCTTATAAATTTGCTTTGTTTAAATCGGCTTACATAAAGGTAGGCATTCTAGAAGGGTAATTTATAAAATTGCTTACGTCAGATACTGTGCATGCTAATTAAGAGACAATGCTAATAAATGCAGAAAAAGTTTTCTTTCACTGTGTCTACGGAGAATTTTTACATTGTTAGAAAATTATTCATAAAAATTAAATCAAGTTTACTGCTACCGTCTAATTTTGATCTGAGATAACTTCATCGCGGCGTTAGGAAGATCAGGGAACAAATCAGGATGTTTACATTACTGACAAATTTTGTTTAACCGAATCGGTGTCTACCTGTCTCCCTCCACTCGTCCTCCTCCAACCCCCGCCTTAAAACAGCGAGTCAGAAAGTGCTGAACCTTCAAAAAGGAAACATACTCAGAGACCTGTTGAGCTCAGTCGTTGACGTTCTCTGTGCTGTTTTTCTCAAGTCTCGCTTGCGATAAAGTTTGTCTCCTTTCGGCCACCGTCGCGTCAGCGTTAGACGTATTTTGTCCTCCTGCCGCTGCCGTCCCAGAGACAGTATCACTCGCCGAGTTCCGGGGCACTAAGAGGTGTGTTTCGGGTAGCCGGCTGGCGTTACCGGCACCATGGAGTCCCCTTTTAGCCCCGGACTTTGTCACAGACCAGATGAAGACTGGGGTGAGTGCGAAAGTAGTTGGGCGGCTCGGGTCCGCGTCTCCGGATTTTTTTCCCTCCCTGCTTCTGCCCCGTGGCGACAGGTGTGAGCCACCGGAGCTCGGGGGCGAGGGCACTCGCTGTCGCCCCAGTCCACGGCCCTGGAAGCCACTAGGAGAACTGTGCGGCTGCTGTCCCGCCCACAGAGTCAGCTGTTGTCTTAATTGGAATTACTGTCGTTTTTCCTCTGGGGAAGTATCTTACCAGATCGTCCTTTTGTGGGACGAAAGGAAGCGTAGGGCGAGAGGACTGTGACTACCGAGAAGACCACAAGCTATTTCCTCAGAGTGTAGGATTTGAGCAGTCATCACGGCGGGGAGTGTGTGTGTGTGTGTGTATGTGTTTGTGAGGGAAGGGCAGTGTGTACTCCTACCTTCGTTAGGGCAGATGTTCATTTTGGTGTTGAAACAATGCTCCAAGAACATGACCTGGTGTACTTTGATCTAACGTTTATAAACTGCTGTGGTTTTGACTGCTTTCCGGAGACGGCTTTGAATTTTCTTGTTATGGATATTTTGTTATGGATGTCTTGTTCGGTTTTGGTTGTCAGGAAGATAGAATGGAACGAGGTTTTATCATCTAAGTGTTTATGGGAAGCTTTTATTTCCTTTTTGATTGGAGTGTGTGTGTGTGTGTGTGTGTGTGTGTCGGGGATCGAACTCAGGACCTTGCATTATGCCTGCTGAGCAGTCTAATCCCCGGCCCTGTTCCCTTTTTGATTGCAAGAGGTATTACGCATGCATTTTTACATAGCAATATGAATTTGGGAATGTGTCGGTCCCTGAATGGATCTTGTTGTTAGCCTTCACACAGTTTTAGAATTTAGGAGGAACTCAAACTGATAGCTATTTTTTCCCCAGCCCAACATTCTTCATTCCATTAGTGAAGTCTCAACGCCATTTATTGAACTGAGGTTCTTATTTAATTTTGTAGTAGCAGATGGTCTCTAAAATTTTATTCTATGAGAGATTGATTTCGGTCTTTAGATTTTTCTGCGAGTTGCCTGAAAAACTTCAGACTATTCTCAGTGCATTTTTTTCCATGCCAGATATGTTAGTCACAGTGACAGTTACCATTTATTTAGCGCTCTATTTTTGTCAGGTATTTTGCTAAGCTCCTTACATCAGTCATTTTATCTAATCTTAATAATAGTCCATGGTGTTGCTATTTTTCAAATGAAGAGGCGGAGCGGAGAATTTCTTCTGACGTAGAGCTGGTGAGTGGCAGAAGAACAGGTTTATTTCCACAGCTTTTGCCCCTAGTCACTATTCTCTGATGCTTTCCTAAAATGATTCCAACAAATTTCGTTCTTCCTAAAAAACCTTAAGTTAACAAGACTATTTCAGTATGTCACATATGATTTGTTTTCTCAGATAGTCGTTTCATACTTTCAAGACATTCTGATATTCTTAAACTATAACTTCCTGGGAGCATTATTGTGCTTTGTCTTCTGATACCCAGCGTGCATTTTCATGATGCTGTGGCTTAACAGATCTTCAGTTTTTTGTAGTTGTTTGGTTGACTTTGCCTCTCTCAGGTATCCTGCCCTTCCTGTCCCTGAATGTGCTACATTGATATTGTTTTCTAGATTTCTCTTTTCAATCTGTTTATAATCTTCTCTTACTTGAACACTTTAATTCTTATGTGTTCAGTAAGTAGGCTTTGTAAGCACTGGAGTGTAACGCTGTTGTATGGTAGTGTTTCTCAGTGAGATATGGATTCTTTCTTTGGGAGTTGCTGTTTAGGATATTCAAGTATTTTATTGATCTGTTTGATGTTTCAAAAAATTAGTTATCCAATTAAATTTTAGAAATTATACTATGTAATTAGTTTTTCTTGAGACTTAACAATTTTAAGTAATTTAAATAAAATATCATATAATTGAGTCATATATAACCTCACACTAATAAATTTCAATAGGCACAGAAAAGCTTATTAATTGATGTGCTTTTTAAAAGCTTGGGTAATAAGACTTCCATCAGGGTTCTGCAAAACTGTTTTTCAGGTGGTAAATGTTGTAAGCATTGTGATCATGGATGTATTTCTGTTGCAGCTACTCAACTCTTGTGTAAAAGAAGATATAGACCATATAAATTAGTAAGAATGGTCATGTTCCAATAAAATTTTATGTAAATTGAAATTTGAAAGTCACATAATTATTTTTAATTCAGTACTTAACAGCTTTACTTTTTAAAAAAATTTTATTTATTTGTGTGTGTGTGTGTGTGTGGTTAGCTCAGCCCACCAGGGGGTGGGGCTGGCTGGCATGTGGTGCTGGGGATTGAACCACGGTCCCTGTGCTTTACTAAGCTTGTTCTAAGTAGGTGCTTTAGACCACTGAGCTATCTCACCAGCCCCTAGCTTTACTTTTTAAAATACAGTTTTAGATTTATAGAATAATTGAGCAGGTAGTTCATATAGTTCCATATACTTCTTTGCTGTCCCTCACAATTCTTCCATTGGTAACATTTTGCATTAATGTGGGACTTTTGTTTCTTTTTTTTTCTTTCTTTTTTTTTTTTTTTGCAGAACCGGGGATTGAACTCAGGCCCTTGCACTTGCCAGGGAAGCGCTTATTCTTCTGAGCTATCTCCCCGGCCCCCTTTTGTTTCAATTGATCAATTAGTATTGATACATTATTAATAGTTAAAGTTCATGGTTTACATTAAGCTTCATTATTAATATTAATCCTAGCGTAAGGGTTTGACAAATGCAGAATTCCATAGGTTTTAGCAAATATGTAAAGACACGCATCCTTCATTACAGTATCATACAGGATAGTTTCACTGTGTGTGCTACCTATTCACCCTGCCTTCCTTCCTCCTTCCTGAATGCCCTCTCACCCTGTACCCACTGATTTTTTTTTTTTTTTAGTTTCCATAGTTTTGCAGAATATCGTATAACTGAGTCATATATAACCTCAAACTAGGTTCTTTCACTTAGCACCATACATTAAGGGTCCTTCCATATCTTTTGTGACTTTGATAACTTAATGCCTTTTTAGTGCTGACTTGTATTACATGGTATAGATGTTGCACAGGGTTTTAGTATGCACAGGCTGCCATAACAAAATACCACAGACCGGGTGGCTTAAACAACAGAAATTTAGTTTCTCACAGTTCTAGACATTGGAAGTTCAAGATGAGGATGCTCTCTTGAGGGATGCTATGATGAGGATGCTTCCTGGCCTATGGATGGCTTACTGCCTTTTTCCTGTGTCCTCATATGGCACTGAGTGAGAATCTTCTTTTTATAAGGAATCTTCCTCTTCTTATTAGATTAAAGTTCTACCTTTATGACACCTTTCTCATATTGGCAGTCTCTGTAAGCACACAGTTTGTTTACCTATGTATGATTGAAAGACACATTAATTGCTGCCAAGTTTTGGCATTTATATGTAAGGCTGCCATGAGCATTTGTGTGCACATTTTTGTGTGGACATAAGTTTTCAAGTCCTTTGGGCAGATTGCTGGATTAAGTGGCCAGAATATGTTTCATTTTGTAAGAGGCTGCTGTGCTGTCTTCCATTGCATTCCTAGCAGCAGTGGAAGAGTGTTCCTATTGTTCCATGTCCTAACTAGCATTTGGAGTTGCCAGTGTTTTGGAATTTAGCCATTTTAAAGGGTGTGTAGTAGTATTTCATTGTTATTTTAATTTTTGGTTCCTGATGATACATGGTATTGAGCATCTTTTCATATGCCTCTGTCTTGTATGCCTCTCCTCTTTCAATCTCCTTATTCCTCCCCTCTCTCTTGCTTGCTGTGGTGGTTCGAGGTTTTTGCAAGATGAACAATATAGTACGGGATATGTTTTGTAATATTATTTTATAGTGAATCAACCAAGAATCATACAACAAGTGCAGGAAATCTGTCCATACACTAAATACTAAAGAATCCAGCAGGGGGCCTAGATCATAATGTCCTGCATGAGTCCAGCTAGAAACCTAAAGCTTATAACAGTGCCTCCCACAAGTCCAACTGGAGGCATAGAGCCCACAACAAAGTCTCATGCAGGCCTGCTTCACAGATCTGTTCTGGGAAGGCCCAAAGGTCAGTGGTGGAAGCTAGGAAGTCTGTGCAAGCAGGATTAAGGATCTGTGGTAGCAAGCTGAGGGATCTGAACTGGAGCTAGGAAGCATGCAGAGTAAGCACCAGAGCTCCCCCAAAGATACCACAGCCATCCTCAGCAACTGTGAGGTCCCTAGCCCCTCCAGTGATGGGGAAAGTCAAGTTCCCATCAGGAAAACCAATGCACCAAGCTTCTTCATGAGACTGAGCAGTGTACCATCTTCCCCTCTGGAGCCAGGAAGCGATGCTCAAGATGAGAACCAAAGCTCCTCCAAAGTTCATTGGGAAAGCCAGCACGACCAGGTCTTCCAACAGAACAACCCAAGAGAACTAGCAGCTTCCCACAGCTTCTCCAAATAGCATCCCTAACAGTGTTTTGCAGCTTCTCCTGTTCTGTCTTTATGCTGTGGTCAACAGCCCTCAGGTGGGCCTCCCGCACACAGCAACACCCTAGTTTAATTCAGCTGGGTGTAATAAGTTGACCACTAGTTAAAAATCCACTACACTTGCATTTATTCAGAAGCCACTTAAAAAAAAATTCACCTAAGGTTTATGTACCGAGATCAGAAGCTTCCTGCCACTGTGGTCTCTTTTTATGTTGTCAACGTTTTCGGTGCAGGTTCTCTTCCTTTTCTTGCACTAACCAAAACCTGGTACTTCCTTTATGATACAGCTTCCTCTAAATTCCTGGCAAGGGATTAGAGAATGAATTATTGCTTTCATTCTCAAAGCCTTTTTACCATGGGTGTCATGGGTGTCTTCTTTGTCCTTTCCTGCTACTTCTAATTATTAGTCTTGCTTGCATCCCTCAAAATGCCTAAACATTAAGCTCATTTTGTTGCAATATTTCATCTTCTGACATGTCTTGTAGTGGTCTGCTGATTCCTGAGTCACTTT